CCCCCCCTCTCTCTCTCTCTCTCTCTCTCTCTCTCTCTCTCTCTCTCTCTCTCTCTCTCTCGCTCTCTCTCTCTCTCTCTCTTTCTCAGCACCTGTATTTGATTTGTGGATGGCTGTTTTTCAAAATATATTTTTGAATTTATTGCACGATACTGTAACCTTTTGATTTAATCTTGCACACAGTATATACACTACATTTAAAAAAGAATTCAAACTAAAACAAAAACTAATAAAACCAAGCAAACCTGCTCTGAAAATGAATTAAAACTCAATTTCAATTAAATAAAAACTAAATGTAATGAAAAATCCCAAACAGTCTGCATCCCTCATTTGTTGCCCATCACAAAGCTTTGCATAATTAATGATTGTTTCTGGGTAAAAACATTCTCTTTTAGCCCCAATGACCCACTAATGTGCAACTCTCCCGTTGCTATGGAAACCAACATCGAGAAACTGGATCCGCTGAGTGTCATTGGACCATTATATTCGGATGGTGAGATCACCAGATTGAAATATACCAATGTCATTCTAACACAGTCCTGTTGACAGCCTTTGTTTTCTCGCACTGTTTTTTTTTTCCTTTTTCTTTTCTTTTCTTTTTTTTTTTCAAATAGAAAGTCATGGCTGGCTGAGTCCTAGTATTTCTTCTTGCTCTTCCGTCACATCTAAGGGTTGTGGAAGATCTAAAATGGAGGATGAAACTACCTGCAGCGTTCAACGCAGTATTACAGATACAGTCATCAACGGCTCCATAAAAGAGACTTTCAGCCTCACTGTTGATGCCAAGACTGAGACGGCTGTCTTCAAGAGGTTGGCCACACTTAATATCAACTTAATGCCTTTGCTTTTTCATGGAGATGCCGGTCCAAACCATTTTTTTTTTCAACCGTGTAGTGCAGTGAAAGTTAATAATTGGAATTGTTCTTTTGGCATTTAGTGTCTCATCATAGACGTTAAATTAGCCAAGGATAGAATTCAATAAAACAAGTCCTTGAACATCTGGTTCTTCAGTCACAAATCATAGATTTCTTTGATGAAAGCTGTTTATCAAATGAAATCTTGGACATTTACCCGAGTTAAATGGGGAAGTCACAAAGAGATATTTTTTGAGTTGAGATACTAAAATTGTGCGTTGCCGACAGAAAGAGTGGGACAGAACCTCTCAAATGAGAATTAGGTGACTCATCTGGTGTATGCATCGACGATGCGAAGCCCTGGTTCGGAGCCGACGGAGCCCCCAACGAAATACTGAGTCTGGTCTGGCGACTCGTAATTCGCCTCATTCGGCTGTTGTTCTTGTCATTGTTCCTGTTGTGACTGTTATAGCTGTTGTTTCTATTTATAAGCCTTTTTATTGTTGACGGTGACTCAGTGAAATTTGGCCATTTTAAAAATTTTTACCCTTACCTTGTTCGTTCATCTGCAACTCGAGAAATGCAGAGCATATGTGCTTGTTACTTCCACATTTAGCTTGGCAAATGTCCAAGCTTTAATTTGATATGTGGCATGTTACCATTTATCAAATAAGATGTTCTTTCTAACTGAAGAAGCGCGTGTTCAATGATTTGTTGAGTTTAGGATGAATGTATTGGATGACAAACTATCGAGCTAAAGTCGTGTTTTGGGAGTTGTTTTGAGTGTATTGAATAGGGGTGTCAGAGTTAAAGTGTTAACTTTGGAGATTAATTTTAATTTTGTAAAGGTTGAAAAAAAACTCTGTTGTTATTCGTTTTATTCGCTTCTTGTGGCGCCCTGTGCGCAAGTGTCGAGCCAGATTTAGAGGAGTCTGGTACGAACGCGGACAAACACCGACTATTGGTCGTTTTACTTTGTACTTGTTGGATGAATGTAAAATAATTCGAGGCCCTTGCAACGCCAAATTTATCATCTTAAGTTATATGTCGGATACGTGTCATGCACTTCTGCCCCAAAATATATATTTCAAATAACTGTCAAATATGTTTTCAACCAAGTTTTCCTCTGAAAACTCCTGTTGGAGTCGCAACCTTTTTTATTTGTTACTAGTTTGGAGAACGTGGCATGCCGTGTTCAACATCGTTCTAAGTTTCTGTCGATGGCAAAACGGTTATCAATCAATCGTGCTCAGTTTTTACAACTAGGTAATGCTCTGTGGAGCTTTTCAGTCACTCAGGTCATGGTAATTTGGAAAGGCTGGCATCTTCTTGGTTGTTGAAGACTTCTGCAGCGTATCATCTCGGATCAAAATAACCTGCTTAAGTTTCCTCCACGGGTCACTCTGCTGTATTATGGTGCTCATGAGCAGTTTTGTTGAATTATTCCGATGAGAACAATTTCAAAAAGATGCCTGTGAAGCCGAGTCATTTTAGATAGTTGTGTTAAATTTTGCAGTAGAAGAATTGTATTCAAGGATCAAAGAAAGCTATTGCTCAGGATATCTTTGAGTCTATATATACATTTCACAATTTTGCATTCATTAAATCCCAGATTTGACTGAAGTGAATATTTGTTAAAAGCGTTGCTAAAAAAAATTAAAAATCGTAGAAGTAGAAGCCAAAAAATGTGATCAATCACGCTGAACTACGGAAAATTGTGCGATTAATTAGTTTTTAAAATATTGGATCCCTTGACAACACTAGTATTACCTGTATATGAAAATGATACTTCCCCTCAACTCACTTCAGCTACTTCCTGAGGTAGGTTCAGCAATGTCCCGAGTTACTAGATTTGGTCGCCCTGCCATTGTTTATCCCTCACGCCAGGCTATTTTAGTACCAATTATTTTGTGTTATTTTTATTCTGAACCAAATGACACTTGCAACGTAAGCTTCCCTTCCTTTCTCCCTTGCTGTGCGCTGTCGGTGTGGTCTTCGTCAGAGTGTTGAAATCATATCGGTATGTACCACCAATCAAGTTTCAGCCTGCAGCCATCCCCCTCAAACATTTCCTGTCCATATTTTGATGGTGTTCCCATTTTGTCATGTTCTCTGTTTTGCATGTGCTGTGAATAGAAGTGGGAGTTTCATTTTCAAGTTGATGTGTAGACAGAAAAAGATGTCTTGATGACAACGGTTGGGTTTGGAGCAAAAAGAGGGACGCTTCAGAACGCCATCTGAACCACGTAGGGTTTGTTGGGGGCTGCTCTCCTGCAGCTGGGACTGGTGAACTTAACAAAACTCGGTGGTGTAGTGTTACAAGAAAATGAAGATTTGTGGTTCAGATTTTTCAATTCAGAAAGAAAACACAAGCGTTGATTGCCATTTCTTTTTCCACTCTTCATCTACTTCACTTCATGGGATACGTGTCAGGAACGTCCCATGCACTTCTGCCCCAAAATATATATTTCAAATAACTGTCAAATATGTTTTCAACCAAGTTTTCCTCTGAAAACTCCTGTTGGAGTCGCAACCTTTTTTATTTGTTACTAGTTTGGAGAACGTGGCATGCCGTGTTCAACATCGTTCTAAGTTTCTGTCGATGGCAAAACGGTTATCAATCAATCGTGCTCAGTTTTTACAACTAGGTAATGCTCTGTGGAGCTTTTCAGTCACTCAGGTCATGGTAATTTGGAAAGGCTGGCATCTTCTTGGTTGTTGAAGACTTCTTCAAGATCAGTTTAACGGCTGTAAAAAAAAAAAGAAAAGAAAAGAAAATTTCGAAACGTCAGTACTGTGAAGAGAAGTTTAAAACGGAACCGGAATTTGTTCGGAGCCAAAGTCTTTGATATGGTTTGAATCTTCTCGGACTGGTGTTGATGCATTTACTATATTTTTCTTCATACGATGGAATATAAGTCCCACCAGTCACCCCCCAAAAAATGCATCATGAAAAAGAAAAAACATTTATATAATTCGCTGCGGAGTATAAGTCTCATTTAGGAGGGTGCAAATGTATTTTACAAAAGCCGAGACTAAGAACTGTAGAGCTCCGACTCGCACCCAAAATGCCCGTTCCCCAATTGTGGTCTGCGTTCAGAAAGACGCTCCGAGCACATACTGCTTCACTCCGACTGTTCGGAAACTCAAGAGCATTGTTCACGTGTGCCGTTCGGTTATTCGGATTGCGGCACTTGGCACAAGGAAAGTAAAGAGTTCAAGCACGAGCTGCTGATTGCTGTATAATATAGGCTAAGATGGAGTTAGAGTATATTGTTGGATTATTTTAATTGGGAGGGGTTAATTAATATGGGCCTGATGTGAGTGGTAATGAGCCAAACTGCCAGCAGAGGGTAGCGGTGCACCATTTTAGATTGAAAATTCCTTCTGTTTGTCACCTGTTTACAGTGGGGGGAAAGGGGGGTTTTATTGTCACGGCACCCACGGTGACAGTCAACGGACTTCTAGTCGGACAATCCGAAGCATACATTTGAAATTATTATGATTATACGCAGCAGTAAGAGCTTCATTTGCCCAGAATTGCCTCATCTGCTGAACAAAGCTGCCAAACTAAACTACACATTGGATAATTAAATGATCGGGCATCAACAAAACAAATGAGACTCTTGTCATGTTACACACAAGGTGTTGTACTAAGCAAAAATTCCTGCCGCCCCTTGAATGTTAGTCTTGAGAGAGCCTCCCTCTTTGTGCCAACTCGTAGTTTTCTGTACAATGCAATTGAATTGATGTCAAGACGAGCCTTCTTCAATCTTCAACTTTGCCTTTGAGTAGATTTGTCTTCATTGATCATCAATGCTGTACCGAGTTTGTACATTTTTACATTACGATTCACGTACAGTATTCTACAATAGTTGTCCAATATTTCTTTGTTGTACTGTGGAAATACATGGACTGCGTCTTGCATCATATTGCTTTGTGCTTATGTGAATCGCAACATCTTGAGTGTTTTGTAACAACTTTGTTTCTCCTCTTGGAAGCAATGACAAGTGCCAGTACGCAATGGAATTCCCTTATGGCCCTCGAGAGGAAATGTCCAACATAGATGATGCCAAGTAAGTCACATTGTCCCTTTATTCCATTTACTCCTTACTCTGTCAATTAAACTGATCCAACTCAGCAACGGTGAAGGAACGTGTTTTGGTCATAAAAGGGGTGTTCACACGGCACACATTTGCTCCGGCACTACACCGATGTATTTTGTTGCGATATATTTTACACCGAAGCACATTTTGTGGAGCGGTCACACGTACAAAGCCACTGAGCGTGTTAGCACCGGCGCAGCGTCGGTGCAGCTCCACTTGCGGTCACACGGCAGTTTCTGCAGCGGAGCAAAACGACAGAAAACAAATGAGCTGTCGTGTTGGATCTTTTTAAAACTTATACTTAACTCAAGAAACTACTGTACAGGCACGTCCTTCTCCTCGGTCTCCGAGCCTTCAGCTCAAGAGTGACCGCCCCCGAAAACGTAAATCAACGATGACTTCAATGACACTCAGAAAAGCAAACATGTAATGCGCCAAACAGAAAATCAAGAGAGGAAATCACAAAATAAATTCTATGGAGGCCGGGGGGTTGTGAACACACAACAAAGGAACAAACTACACAAACAACTCCGAGACAGTCCAGTCTCCTACAAAAGGAAAGATGACGTTTGGGGACTACCC